TGAGATTGTAATATAATTAAGTAATTTGTATAAAAATATATCCACTTGCAATTTTTAGGAATACAGGGATGCTTGTTAAAATTTTAAACTGTTATCTATAAAAAATGCGAATATTTTATCTGTTGTGCTGATCTAGTCTTGTTCACAAGTTTTGTAATTTTATCCTGAATTAACTGAATAAAATCCATCACACAAATATTTTTATTTTATTCACATTTAAAGAAATTAAGTAAAGAATTGGTAATACACAATATACAATATTTATTAATACATTATAAAGAAGATATAAATAAAAATACCAATAATATCGTGATAGTTGCCAAGAGAGAATATTTCATGTGTCGTTTTCTATGCATATGCGCCTTGCACTAAACTACATAGAGAAATGATGTCTAATAGTATTTTAAAAAATCTAGTGGACTACACGAATAATTGGAAGTTCACCGGTTTATGTGAACTAAGGTTATTTGTAGTTAGAGCCAGTAAGGCTAAATATCTGGGAGTAACTTTGGATTCTAAGCTCACTTATAATAAACATATTAAAAACATTCCCAATAGAACTACACACCTTTAGAGTTGTAGATAAAAGTACGGAGAGTTGCAGCCAAAATATGTACAAAAACTTAAGGAGAAACGCAAATGCCGTGAAAAGAAACGAGAATAAGAAAACGGTTTAAAAGCCATGTGGGTCAAGGAGAAACAAGAAAGAAAAGAATTTCAGTCAAGAATCAACCTCTGTAATGATAATAGCAACTTTTTTACCAACACTACCTTGCTGATAGCAAGATCTTATCAACAGCTACATAGGGGATTAAGGCAGAAAGACGTACTGGCGTGTCAACTTTTTAACATAGCATTAGAAAAAGTCATACGAGACGCTAATTTAGATGGCAGGAGAATAATAAGAGATCGATCCAAATTCTGGCATATGCTGACGACGTGGACATTATAACAAGAACCAGGGCGAGCACCACGTAAATCCTAACCGGACTAGTAGCAGCAGCAAAACGAATAACAAATTAAAATAAAACCAAATTCATGCCATGTCATTTCAATTCATTGAAAATATTGACGCAGGTCTAATTATCAATGACTAAAACTTCGAAGCAGTCAAATAATTCATACAGGTGTTATCATGGTCTACCAAAGTACTTAGCTAACAAAAGTCTGTCTCAAAAAACTGGTATGACTGTATAGAACACTGATAGACCCAGTTATCACATGGATCAGAGGCATCGACTCTAACCAAAACAGATGAATCCTCTATCGATTTTTGAAAGAAAGATACTACGCAAGATATTCGGAGCGGTCTGTGAGAACGGAATATGGAGGCCTAGATATAACTTTAAATAAACTGCAGAATATCTATATTCTCGGTGAGAATGAAAAGACGAGGTAGATCAAAGCTAAGGTGGATAGACAGTGATACGACCAACGGTAACATATCACCCAAGAAATAATATCCTTGGATATCCGGATGACCTACTCATGTTCTAGCCTCCAGAAGTCCAAAATCATGAAATTTGTCAAAAGAAAGAATTGAGAAGTATTGCGTCCTTTAAACTTAATGTTACAAATAATCTAAATCTGGTGAGTGAAGTTAAAATACCTTGGAGTAATACTTGACTCGAGACTTACTTGGAATTAGCAGATAAAACGATTAACTAAGGGAGCGGTGACTATTTAATTGTAGCCAGACGCACTCCTGGAAAATACGTGTGTAATATTAGACATGGTATATTGGATTTATAACATGGTGGCACAAAAAATGGTGTAGCAAAAAAGTTTCATTATCACATTAAGTAAGCTGCAAAGGTTGCTTAACATTTAATTACTAGACCTCCTACCTCTGCAAATTGTTATAAGGGGGACACGAGAATGATATAGTATAGACTACGAAAAAACCTAATTAACGTAATGGTTAGTTCAAAACATAGCAACATCACAAACAAAATTAGGGGAATACCGTATAGATGGTGACATATAACCATATGTGAACCAATAGTGGAGGAAATGTAAGCATTTTTATTTGACTAGGATATTACATTTCAGGCAAAGATTTATGCAATCTTGCAGTGTACAAAAGAAATCAACATGAGGGTTTTGAACTTAAGCGGATTAATATAGGCACGGATAGTCAAGCGGATATAGGGTTCTCAGGAGAGTTAAGGTAGTCTGCGCACTCGAGTTCAAACGAGTATTAAATATAGGTAAGAGAACGGAAGTGGGAGCACTGTTCAGGAAACTAGATGCTATTAAAAGTGAAACTTTGGGCCTAAAGGAGGACCATTGAAAAAAAGACTTGGGACGAGCTGAGATACCTGGCTAGGAATAGAGACGGATGGTGAAGCCTCATAGTTGCCCTATGCTCCTCAGAGAGCTAAAGTCAATAGGCTAGTGTGACAATGCTGAGAATTCGTTATACTTGCAGAGCATAACAGTACGTGTATGTGTGTTAGGTCATCGGAGAATATACGGCATCGAAAGATCTGATGAATTGAGGAGAATCAGCTACAAACTCCTGTAGCCTCAGCTACTGTCCCATATTAAAAAAGCAGTTCCATATTAATTTTTTGGGTCTGTTCCTACTGAATAATACACTGCACGTCACGAAAGAGACCACCTAAATTTTTTCTAACTGTTATACGATTTATTCTATTGTAATTAAATTCCCACAATGCAGAAACACTTTTAGCCTCTTTTATTCACCGACAGGTAAGGGTAATAAATTTGCAGAATTGATATTAGTTTTACGACTTCGGATAATGCACGTGTTGTTTGTACCTTATTTTTCTTGGAATATGGTTATTCTGTTTTTCAAAAACCTTTTACTAATGTACAGTTGTTCGAAGAGTAAACTTGTTAAAAAATTTTAAATTAAAAACTATGGCTGATAAATTTGCTCAAATTGTTACTTTGAATAGTAATGGAATGAGTCAAAGAGAGGTGGCCAGACAGCTTGGAGTCAGTCGTTGTATGATCCAAAAAATTTACCATGATTCGGAGAGACTAGATCTCACGAACGACGACCAGGATCAGGCCCGAGAAGACCGTTCTTTACAACGCACTTCTTTGCAAAATCGGTTCTTTACAGCTAGATCAATCCAAAACCGTTTTAAAAATGCTCACGGGTGGACTTTAAGCACTTCTACCGTGAGAAAAAGGTTGAGGTAATGTGGTCTCGCAGTCCAGCAACAGGACCTTTGTTATCAGCAGCACATCGACAACGCCGACTACAGTTTACTAGAGACAACGCGCATTGGACGATAGAATATTGGGAAAATGTTTTGTTTAATATGAGTCCAGGATGGTTCTTTATGGCTCAGATGGTCGCATCAAAACATACAGAAGACGTGGGGAACGATGTGCTGCTTGTGTTCGACGAGTATGTGTTGCTTTTGGAGGAGGTTCAGTAATGTTTTAGGCAGGCATTTTATTCGAGGACCGTACTGATCTCGTATTTATTGATAAAGGAGCGTTGAATGCACACCGATACATTACCGAAATTCTAGACGAGCATGTAATGCCTTTTACTGGGTTTGTCGGCGAAAACTTTATTTTTATGCAAGACAACGCGCGGCCACACGTAGCCAGGATGGTAACGCAATATCTGGAAACTGTCGGTGTGCCAAAAATGAACTATGCGCCTCAAAGTCCAGATTTGAACCCGATTGGACATGTTTAGGACCAACTCAAACGAAGGGTAAGAAACAGAATAATTCCAATAAATCGTGAGCAGCTTCGATTGGCGATCATGGAAGAATGGGAAGCTTTTCCTCAAAACGACATCCAGAATTTGATCAATTCAATGCCGAATCGAATGAGGAGTGTAATTCACAATAGAGGGTGTACAGTATTAATATTATTAATTAATTTATTATTAACAGTATTAATTATTATTAACAGTATTAATATTCACGACTCAATTGTAATTTTGTAAAGAAAACAGAAAAAATGTGCAATGTTAATTTTTTTTTATTTTTCTATAAAATCATTATTTTGGAAGAAGTTATGTTCTGACATTTGTTATTTAAAAAATAATTGCATACTGCTTTAGAACATATTCTTAAACATTACACAAACATATAATGACAATCACTTTGTGGTATGATTCGTAAAATATCGATAATCCGATATATCCTTTTTTTGTTTTCCTGAACCTTACTTTTAGAAACCCTAACAAAACATGGTATAGACCATAACACGGTGGCCCTTATTAATAATCTATATGGGGATGAAATGGCGTTGATTAAAATAGACAATCGTATGATAGCAGAAATGTCAATAAAAAGAGGAGTTCGAAAGAAGTGTGTACTTTCTCCACTACTGTTTAATATATACTTCGAAAAGATTTTGAAACGAAAGCTATGGACTGATGTTTCATTTATTGCAATTTTCTTACAAAAGAATCTCTCGATCTACCTTGTAAATGACTGAGTTGATTCCAAATGTCGTTTTAGTTTATTAGAAAGCATATTTTCTGGTGCCAACACTTTGTGACAAATAACACATTGGGGAAGTTCTACATCCTCTTTAGTAATACAGGTAAATCCGAAATAGAAATATTGGTCGTCATTTTTTCTATATTTCTTCCGTTACCTAATGTTACTGTTACTGGTCTCGCCTGAGTAATCACTTCATTTTGTATTTTTTTGAATAATATATGTTATCCAGAATTAATATCAAAAACGTGCGTAATTAAAGAAAACAAAAGCTTGACTGAGCGACATATGAACGCACAAGACAACAGTGTACGCGGGGGGCAGGTCTCGAATACCCTCCGACAGCAGCGGTTTCCGATGCCGCCACATTTTGGAAAGCCCTGGTCCAAACAGTAATAGCTTTCTTTGAAATCAATTTGTTAGTATTATATTAGTTTAAACTCGTTACATCTAGTTAAGCTAATTTTTAGCACAGCTTACCAAGATGGCAAATAAATTTAGTGAAAATTAAAAAGCAATGTTTGTTTTATGTGTACATAATTAGTAAAATAACAATAAAACATTTGGGAAATATTTTAATAAAATCTCAAAAATATATTAAATTAAAAGACAAACATTAATTGCTTAATAAAGGCACAAAAGAGTATGTTTACATAGGTCTAAACCATTTTGGTAAAGTTCCTGTTGGTTCTGGTATTTTTCTTTCTGTGTATTCCTGGGCGATTCCCGCGCTAGTACTTGCACCGTCGTTTACTCTTTCCGTGGCCGAACTGATTCCTGGACTTTCAAAATCTAAGTCATCGTTTAACTGTTGGGTACATTTTCTCATGTTTTCTCGTCTAAAATAAAAAAGCAATTTAAGAGGCAAACGGCTTTTAATAAAATTTTCAAATTTATATATACAAACTCAAATAATATATGTAAAAATGCAACGTATGTACTAGAAGAATTGAAGATATAAGAATATCGGCAACACTGATAAAATACTTCAAGGAGAAGCAGATAATATAAAGACGGTAACTGTATGAGGAAAATAGGTAATGAGGAAAAATTTCATAAAATTGGCAGCATTTATTACTATTTTTTACACACAACTTATTCGAGCTACATTTTATTCCATACTCCCAACAAAAGCAATTATCTGCGATTGAACAAAGGTGTCGCCTTTGCAATTTTGTAATTTAACCTTTCACATCTGTTTGATGTTTGGTAATTGTTGATTTATGTGCAACATTATATAACCAAAACAATGAACTTAGTCTAGAAATATTTAAGTAAATAATTCATTAGGAATTAATACTATAACTTAAATGGAGGTTAGTAGCTGGGATCGTGAATTCATCGCTAAAAAGAAGCACAGTGGACTCAAAGAGTCCACTCCCATTGGGTGAGGACGGAGGACTGAGGAGCCATATATCCAATTTAATTGTGATAGTTTCAGTTTCGATATGGCTTTAAGCGGGTATTTGATGGTGAATTTGGGTCTCCCAACCTGTCATTATATGTTTTAAAAAAGTCACTATACTATAATCGACTTTATATACTCATATATTTATAAGACATTCGTGCGGCACAGAGTGAAATGCTGTCTTTTTTGAAAAATCAATAAAGGCAACAAAAAGGTTCCTTTGTAGCCCAGCGAATCTACCAACACTGTGAGTTTTGAGAGACATTTCGGTCTACTAAGATACCTAGGGCTCATTAACACGGAAAGTGGCCCACCAGAACTCAATTCTTTTGATAGCGGCGAAATTTCTCCAGCCTATCAGATCCCCTAGGGCTATTGTTGGGCTGTAGCTGATTTTATAATAAAGTTCTTCCTCATCACCCTGCCACCGACGTGCCGCATGCTGGCACGATAGTGCCGGCTCCAGATGAGTCGTGGACATTGTTCCAGATAAACTTGTGTCCACCACACAACAACTAATAATCGTCTAAGTTATCTCTAATCAGGCACAAGCCAAAAATGGAACCCTTGTACTGTCTTTATTGATCATAAGAAAGTCTTTGGTTCGGCGCCGCATGAATGGCTTGTAAATAAACTTAACCGCAAAGGTTTTGCACCACCAAAAATTATGATCATTTTGATAGTTGATCGTCTCGTGAACGGATTAAGGGATTCCGGTAATTTTTTTTACTAGTTAAGACTTTTTCTTTGGTATTGACACTGTTTGGCAAAGGTTTATTCAAAATTCTCTTTTAGGCTTATACCGGGTGGAAATAAAAAAAATGTTTTTCTTATATTAAGTTCGAAATATCCTGTAAGGTGTAGATTGTGTACAAGGTACAAGGGTGGGTTTACATCAAGACCATGTTGTAGCCTCATATTTTGTGAACATTATATTTGTTAAATTTCCCTGATATCTTTAAAGACAAAGAAACTCAAAGGTTTTATTCTTTAATGTGTGTTTTAATTGAAACAACATTACATTAAAAATAAAAAATACCAACAGTTAACAAAACTTTAAAAATAGAAAGAAACAACGTAAACTAATATCGCTTGTTTTCCCCTTTACTTGTAATAACAACATCTCACATCGCCTAGGTTTGTTGAATATTAAGCGGGCTATTTGATTTTGGTCTATGGAGTTTTAGATATCAATAACCGTAGTTTCTATAACTTACAGGGAAGCAGGAAGTGGCTGACGTAGTCTCAATCGTCTACCGACAATATCCCATAAGTGTTCAATAGGATTCATATCGGGACTGTGAGCGAGCTAATTCAATGTCTAAATATTTATCTATTAAATATTGAATATTCCGTAAGGTATTCCTAATAAGGTGCAAAAAGAACAACGTGTTCAAAATTTCTGTAATGTACTTTTTGGTTTTTAAAGGGCCTCCACGTAAAGACGCCAAATCCGTTCTTACTGTAAAGGAAAAATGAAATTCCACCCCAAAACATCACAGAGCTTCCATTAAACAATCTTGTCTCTCTTAGGTTGCACTGTGCATACCGCTCACCTGATCGACGAATAATTCCTAAGAGTCTTGTTATTTTTTATTGTTAATTTAGTATTGTTTCAGTTAAAACACCTGTTAAAGAATAAAATCGTCTATTTTCTTTGTTTTTAAAGATATCAAAGAAATTAAAAACAAACAATGTTTATAAAACATGAAACTAACATAGTTTCGATGTAAATTTATCCTTACATATTGTCCTCCCTACAAGGTGTCTCAAACTTAACATAAAAACATGTTTTTTCTTCCATCCGGTATAAGCTCAAAAGAGAAGTTTGAGTAAACATTTGCCCAACAGTGTAAATACCTAAACAGTCAAAAATAATAAAAAAAAATGAGCAATCCGTTAATCGGTTCACGAGAAAATCAACAAATGAGCATAATTTTTGGTGGTGCATAAGTTGCACCACCACTTGCAGTTAAGTTTATATTAAGAATATATGAAGTCGATTATAGTATAGTGACTTTTGTAAAACATAATGTCAAGTTGGAAGACCAAAATTCATCTTCAAATTACAGCCAAATCGAAAGTGAAAGTATTCCGATTAAAAAGAGCCAAGAAGACTCGTTGAGTACTGTGATTTGGTCTAGCGATTAATCATCTGTACCAGCTACTTAACTCCACTAACGCACGTCAGTTTAGCATTTAAAATAACAATACTGTAGGTTTAATAGAAGCTTTATTATCTATTTTATTACTGTTATCATTGGTATGCACTTCATAGATAAGTGTCATATTTTAAATATAATCAGATGAAAGGTAAGCAAAATGGCCAAAAACTCGAACTAAGTGTGAAAATGACATTACAAAAGTATCTGGGAGTGATTTAAGTGCGAAAAATTGACTATAAACCAATGAAAACCCAATTAACTTCAGAGTACGTACAAAGAACAAGAAAGCTATATCGCTCATATCTTAGTAGCAAAAATGTGTGTAATATGTACGCATGTTCCACACTTAGCTTTGTTATTGGAAATTATAGAGTCTTGAACGGAAAGAATACTAACAAAGGCACAAAATATCATTCTCAAATTGCGGTAGAGAGAACAACATTACCGTCCTATTTCAAGAAAAGAAGACTTCTAGATATAGATGAGCAATTAGAAAAAAAGGTTGCTAATTTAAGAACTTAGATTTGCGCAATAGAGAGCACAACACCGCTTAAACTGAGAACAAGAAATGCATATGAACCATCTAAGAAAAAAATGAGCACCTGGAAGAGTAAACCTCTATGGGCGACATCCGCGAGCTATTATCGACTTTGTAAATTCTAGATTTTAAAGCCTTGAGTGCAGCTTGCTGTTTGAGACATTATATATTTGGCTGAATTAAGGCGGTTTTTGGGGCACTCTTGAGCACAAAAATCGATTGCTGCAATGGAACCCGATCACATTTGCACTCGTGATTTCTATACAAGCTAGTCTTTGCACTTTTCACAACTCCAGTATTATCTTTTGCAGCGTTATTTTGTTCCACCAAACCCGCGCAGCATAAATACCTATGGGTCTGCTAACCGTTATATATGACCAAGACATCGTTTTAGATTTAAGACCCATGTTTTGACAATCCCTCTCCCTAAGTGAGAGCGCCCACCAAACTGGCGTGGCAAGTAGAATGAATGACGTCACTGTCATTTTGGTGTGCGCTGAATCATTCGTCTTCATTGGTTACATTTTAAGAAACATGCTAGACGCGTGCTACTTGCCATTTGCCACGTGCCACGCCACTTTGGTGGGCGCTCCCACTAAGATAACTTCGATATATTTAACCTCTTCTGAGAATGACAGTGTTATTTCATTCATGCTCGTTAGTTGAATTGTTAATATCGTTCTATTTGTGAATGAAATTAAAATTTTTATTTTATTTAGGAAATTTGAAATTAGGATTTTATTATGTTTTATTAGGATTAAATGAAAGTCCTTTGAACACCAGGTAATTACTAGACATACTACATACGGTCAGCAATAATACCGTCATGCTTACCTCTAACCGCTATAACTAGATCGTCTGCTTAGCCTAGGGCACGAAACTCTACCCTTTTGAACTTTGTTAAAAGATCGTCAATTTATATTTACAGGCCACAGTAGAGGTGATATGTTGTGAGTATAAAAATTTTCTTCTTCTTCATCCAACTTGTATGTAGGCTTTAAAGCCTGTTTTTTCTTCAATATTAGCCTCCTAAATTGTTTAAGTTATTGCACCATATTTTTCTTGGTCTGCCAATACTTCTTCGTCCACTTGGTGACTTATCTTGAGCTATTCCTAGTATCCTCTCCTCTGCCATTCTATTAATGTGTTCGTTCCACTCCTGTTTTGTCACATTTTATCCCTGATATTTGTCGAAGTATTTTCATCTCTATTGTTTCTAGTAGTCGTCTCGTTTTAGATGTGTCAGGTCTTGTCTCCGCCGTGTATGTTAATATAGGTCTAATTGCTGCTTTATAGATTCTTGTTTTTGTGTCTTGTCTTGAGTGTTTGCTCTTCCAGATTGTGTTATTAAGAGATCCCGACCGCTTTACTTGCTTTTAAGCTTTATTACTTCTTCTTCAACATATCCGTAACTAGTTATATCCATTCCTAGATATCTAAACCAATTGGCTGCAGTACTAGCGATGTAGAACAGGCTTCCAGAACCAACAAATACTGTGCAGTCAAAACTTATATTTTGAACTGAAATTACATATGCTTAAATGCCATGATGATAGCCAATCTTACTAGCTTAGGTAGCGCTTGAAGATCATTTTAGAAATAATATTTGACCTTGCACCAGTTTTAATAACAAACAAGAAACAATATTTTCTTGATACTTTGTACCTATTTCCCTATACAGATTTTTTCGTATTTCTGTATCATCAATTTTCATTGTCCATTAAAATACACACATACTAATACCTTATTTGCGCAGCTGCTAAACTTGCTACCGAGTTGCTAGTGAACTTGTCTTTTAGATCTTTTCTTAGAAAAGATTCTCCGCTGTTTTGATCAGTGCCAAAATGAATTAGAGCTCCAGGTACAAATCCCAATTCTAAAAGATTTTGGTCTTCAGCTAAGATATATTTTGGAGGTGTTGAATCTAAAAGTAATGGTATAATTATTAAAAAATAATATAAACTGTTGTAATTAAAATAGAAATGAATCGATAACAGTATATCTTACTAAGAAAGAGTTAAAATCTAAATGATAATAATGAATTCTAATTTTAACAAAATGATTTAATAATTGATGGATTTGACCGTTACTTGATGGAAATTCATTTTATGTAACAATAAAACACAGAACTGTTTTCAAAACTTCCACAAAATTTATTATAATATATCATATATCACTACAGCTATTTCGGCAGAGTGCCTTTCTCAAGTGATCTATTTTTGGTATGCGTTTACACTGTATAGTCTTTAACGAAATAGGTTGAGGAGGGTGTCTCAAGTTGGTCATTCAGAATTATGTCTGTGTTCATCTGTGTACATCTGTAAAAGAATGATTATGATCTAGAAGGTGAAGTGCGTATGTAGAATCTGTTTTTCTATTATTGAAAGCCTTTTTATGTTCTTCTATTCGTTTATTAAAATTTCTACCAGTTTGACCGATGTAAGTTTTTGGGCAGTCCCCACATTTAAGTTTGTATACACCACTGTGTAAGTGCTTTTTATTTTGGCTCTTGTTGTTTTTAATATATTTGTCTAAGTTGTTGTTTTTTCTGAAAGCTGGTGTTATTCAGAACAAACACAATTTGCTTTATTTATATACGGAATACCCCGACGCAGTGTATAAAAATTGTTTTTCTTTTAAGGTATTATTATTATTATATTATTTAATTTAAGTTATTATTGAATATTGGATTATAGTTTCCATTTATTTAGTCACCACTCATAATTCCATTTCTTTTAACAATGAGCAATATTTTTCCTATTCAACCACTTTTGTAGGGGGGGTGTCAGCGGATTTTTACTAAATTTTAGTATATCATTGTACCTTAAAAAAGTAGCCTATTACCTTAAGTAATAGACTAGCAGTGAAGTGAATAGTGATCAGTGTAGTAGGTCTGGGGTTTCGGGAGACTAAGACCTCGGAAACCCTGAAGAAGACATCAGAGAGGATGTCGAAAGATCGACGCAATGGAAATCAACGCGGTTCAACCCGGAAGACTGGTGAGTTCAATATTAATTTTTCTAATAGTCAAAGAAGGAAGATCTTCAAATACTAATTAACAAAATAGTAGAATGCAGTGAAGAACACGGATTATCACTTAACATAAGCAAACCAAAAATAATGCTAATATCTAAATCACCACAAAACTTCCCTGACATAACCGTGCATGATCAAAGAATCGAACGTGTAAGAAGATATAATTACCTGGGAACTGTTATCAACGAAAATAATGATTGCTCTGAAGAAATCAGAACCAGAATAGAGAAAGCTAGAGCCACATTTACTAAATTGAAAAAGGTGTTCTGCGGAAGAGATCTAAGTCTAAAACTTAAAATTCGCCTTTTGAGATGTTACGTTATGTCAGTTCTCCTCTACGGGATTTAAACATGGACATTGAAAAAGATCGATACCAAAAAGATAGAAGCGTTTGAGTTGTGGATGTATCGTAGAATATTAAGAATACTCTGGACAGAGAAAGTAACAAATACAAAGAGCTGATACTTACTGTTAAAAAGCGCAAACTACAATATTTGGGATATGTTATGAGAGGAGATAAATACCAGTTGCTGCAATTGATTATACAGGGAAAGATAATGGGAAAGAGATCTATAGGAAGAAGAAGGCATTCATGGTTGAAAAACTTGAGAGAATGGTACAATTGCACCAATTACCAACTGTTCTGCAGCATCAAAAATACGCATAGCTTTGATGATAGCCCTTCGGAACGAAGACGGCACTTGAAGAAGAAGAATAGTATTAATCTTAGCTGTAGTTTTAATATATATATATCTATCTATATATATATATATATATATATATATATATATATATATATATATATAATATATATATATATATACATTTCAATTTTAATTATAGTAGTTCTGATTTGATGAAAATTAATCTTCACTTTGCTATATGTTTTATGTTCTAATAATTTCTCAGCATTTTAGATAGATACATAGCAATAGCAACATATTCAAAACATTTAATATAAATATAACAGAAATATTAAATAGTATAAATGAAAATAATATAACTTAAGCAATCTAACATAATTAAAAAATGTTGATAAAATATACTCACACACATAGAAATTTAAAGATTTATCTTCTAAATATTCCCTGACAAAATGTATAACATCTTTTATGCTATCTGAAGTTGCAAAAGTTCCTTGCAGAACTACTCTATCAGGAAACTGTACTCTAATAATGGCTTTTTTGTAAACTGCTATATTTCTTAACTGCCTCTTTGACTCCTCTAATCTTCTGAGAGCTGAAGTTAACAAAGGACCATTTTCTAAATCGTGACGTTTTCTTTTGACATCCCTAATTAATTTTCTGGCATCATCAATTGTTAAATCGAAGAAATCATCTGGTAGTTCTTCACTTGGCACTGCAGAAGCAGTTTCTTGGGAAAACAACATAGCGTTTCTAGCTCCTAACTGTAAATACAATTTATTAACATAAATAAATAAAGGTCTTTCCCATTATTAATAAATACTCTTTCACTCAGAAAGTAGAGTGATGCGATTAAAACATATTATATCCAACACAACAGAAAAAAAATAATCATCATCAAAAAGTTTTGTTATTAATTAATATTAAATTAGCAGTTTTACAAGGGTATGTTACATTTCCAGTATTATACGGTGTGTTTCTTTATTAACAACTCTGGGTTGAGTTTACCGAAAGTACAAGCTGAATATAGCCGCCAATGTCAAAAATATTTCGGTTTGGCATGTTTTTATAATGCATATGTTGTATGCTTCAAATATAAAGAGATAAAGCTTTTAAAAAGTATATTTTGATTATATTATTTTATGAATTCCGCAATTTTTAATTTATATGAAACAATAACGGGTAAATATTTGTCTCTTTCGAGATTAATTGCAAAAATCTGACAACTGCTGACTTGACGATTGCCAAATCTATCCCCTAATCTAGCAAAGGGTAATTGCTAAAAAAATTTCTAATAATTAACTGCAATTAATCTCCAAAGAAACAAATATTTACTCATTCTTGTTTTATATAAATCAAAAATTGCAGAATTCATAACATAATAGAAACAAAATGTACTTTTCTAAAGCTTTATCTTTTTATATTTGAATCATACAGCATCTACATTATAAAAGCATGCCAACACCGCTATATGAAAATTTTTTGTTCCATGTTTGATATTTGCGGCTATAATTAGCTTGTAATTTCGGTAAACTAAACCCAACTCTCTTTATCATGTTTACAAAACTGCCTTCTCACTGTAACACTGTTGTATCCAATATCATTTCCGTTATGTTTTGAATATTTCCCAAATATATTCAATTGGTGTTATTTAATAGATGTCTTCATAATAGCAAAATCCTTAAAGACACCAGAGTCTAGTAAGACTCCTACACAAAAAAACGACAAATGTGACCTAAAAAATTATAGACCTGTATGGTAGCTCAGCCAAGTGTATAAACTGTTTATCGGAGTTATTAACAACCCAAGTTTAAAAAAGTCATACACAGCGATGCTAGGAATATTTATATTCCACAATGCACCAACAATTATTTTGAGATCGTCTACAAGAGAGATCGTCTGCACAGCTGTATGAAGAGTAGGAAACACCCGAGGGGATGAAAAGGTTATACAGCATTGCTAAAGCAAGGGACAAGTTATCAAAGGTCTCGACCCACGTGAGGCAGGTGAAGAGTACGGATGGAAGAGTATTAAGAACCTATGTTGAAATAAAGCAAAGATGGTATGAGTACTTTTGAAAGTTGCTAAATGAAAAACACCAGAGGAGAGACAGAGGATGGTAATCTCAAATGAGAATGTAATACCGGGAATAGCGAGAGATGAGGTTGTCGAGTCTTTAAATAGGATGATGAATGGTAAGACAGTAGGACCTGATAGAATACTTGTGGAGGTTTGGGGGGCCCTACGAGAAGAAGGGATTGATATTTTGTGGCAAATGCTCCCTAGGATATATGAGGAAGAAAGGATGCCCAATGCATATATATATATATATATATATATATATATATATATATATATATATATATATATATATATATATAAAGTTTAACTTTTGACTTACCAAGCATGTAAAAATTCGGTACTAACAAGTAGACGTCACAATTAAAATAATATTAAAAACATAGGACATACCCACTAAGTCACTACATGTAAAATGTATTATAAATCTAATGTGTTGTTTATTCATGTTAGTTTATCGTTTAAACAATCAGTTATGATATAAGCAGTAGATAATTCAAGCAGTACGTAAAGGTCATGGCTAAGAATGGGGAAAAAAGAAATCCAAATATTATTTTATGCAGATGACGCCGCATTAATCGCCGAGGCAGAAGACGAGCTCCAAAGATTAACATACATCTTCAATACAACAACCAAGAAATACAATATGATAATATCAGCAGAAAAAAACAAATGTATGACAACATCTAAATAACCACTACGATGTAAAATCGAAATTGATGGGCAAATAATAAAGCAGTAAGCAGCATTTAGATATCTTTGAATAGATATAACTAGTTACGGAGATGTTAAAGGAGAAGTAAGACAACAAAGCTCAAAAGCAAGTAAAGCGGCGGGATCTCTTAATGACACAATCTGGAAGAACAAACACCCAAGACAAGACACATAAACAATAATCTATAAAGCAGCAATTAGACCTATATTAATATACTCGTTAAGACCTGGCACATCTAAGACCGGACACATCTAAAACGAGACGACTACTAAAAACAACAGAGATGAAAATACTTCCACGAATATCAGGGAAAGGTCTGTTGGATAGGGAGAGAAGCGAAAACATAAGAAGAGCATGCAATATAGAAGACATAAATGGATGGGTGAGAAAACGTAAACAGGAGTGGAACGAACACTTCAGTAGAATGGCAGAGGATAGGATAGTACGAATAGCATGAGATAAGTCACCAAATGGACGAAGAAGTATTGGCAGACCAAGAAAAAGATGGTGCCATAATTTAAACAATTTAGGAGGCTGAGATTGAAGAAGAAACAGGCTTTAAAACCTACATACAAGAAGGGAGAAGAAGAGAAGGCGTACGACACAGCCCCTAGACAAGAGCTATGGAGATGTATGAGAGAGAAATTAGTTCCAGAGAAATACGTAAGGATCGTAAAGGATATGTATGAGGGAACGTACAGCAGAGTAAGGACTTGTGTCGGATTAACCAAAAATTTTCCAGTGGCGGTTGGTTTACATCAAAGCTCTTCACTGAGTCCCTACCTGTTTAACCCTGTTATGTATGTACTGACAGAGAAAATAAGGGAAAGGGCTCATTGGTCAATGCTCTTTGTTGATGATATCAGGTTAGTAGAGGAAAACAAAGATATGCTGGAGAAATTGAAGGGTTGAAGATTAGCAGGTCGAAAACCGTCAAAGCGAATAAGCGGGGTACTTTGTGATCGAAAAATCGAGAAAGGGCTGAAAGGAAAGTGTAGTGAGAACTGCGTTGGTGTAAGGCGGTGAAGTATGGCCTGTAAAGAAGATTCAGGAAAAGAAGATGGAGGTAGCTGAAATGAAAATGGTACCCTGGATGTTGGGTAAGACTAGAAGGGACAGAATCAGGAATGACTTAGGAAAAGAGCCGGGGTAACTACAGTCTCAAAACAGATCCCAGAACAAAGGCTGTTATGATTTGGTCACGCAAGACGTAGAAATGAAGACCATGTGGGACAGAGCGGATGGAAGTTGATGGAAGGAAAGGTAGAGAAAAACCAAGGAGAAGATGGAAGGACTGTGTGGCAGAAGACTTAAGAGATAAAGAGAAGACCCGATGGACAGCTGAGAAAGCTGAGGAAGAAAAAGTAGAGAAAGCAAATACATACCAACTACCCGTTATTGTTGCCTTCGTTGACGATGAAAAGAAATTTGATAGTATCGAGATGTAGAATACATTCGAGATATAGGCAACTAATACATAATATATATGAAAACGCAACTATGATAGTACAACTAGACGAAAATACAAATTCCATCCCCACTAAAAGAAGAGTTTGACGAGGTGTTTAATCTAATCCTAAAGACATATTGAAAACTACAAATTGGTCAACATATGGTATCAACATTAATAGCAACAAGTTGAACCACCTCAGATTCGCTGAATACATCGTGATTATAGAAATCACATTCGAGAAACTACAAACTAGGGTGAAGGAACTCGCAGACAGCTTTCAATACTTCGGCCTAAAAATGAATATGACAAAAACAAAGACAACAGCAGACAACCCCAGACGTATAACTATAAATAGCAATGAAATAGAACCACAAGAATATATCTACATAGGCCAAATTCTGAAACTTGACTGACAAAGAGAACCAAAGTGCGAAAATTACTAGAAGAACAAGACTGTCATGGGCAACTTATTTGATTACTGAGAAACCGCAAAATATCTCAATACTTGAGGAGCAAAGTGTTTAACCAGTGCATTCTTCCTATCATGACATATGGACGTGGTAAATATGAACAAAGTTGCCGCAAAAAAAGGGCAATAGAATTGTCAATGAAGACCACAGATAAGATGGTTCGATGACATCAAAAAATAGCCGGAATAAATTGGAAATTTTGCTTACGATAATAATCGATGAAAGAAGTTGAGAGATGTTTATGTCCAAAAAGGAACAATAGAAAGCTAAGAAGAAATATTTTTTTAAATTTTGGTGTTGATTTAGGTTTACTATATTGACTTTTAACGAAATAATGGTCTTTAATAGGTCTTCTTCTTAAATGGTTATCGACTTACAGTTACTTTATAGAATATGGCTTCTTTCGCCATTCTGGCCTTCAGCCAGTCTTTCATCCTGGGATATAATGCATGATGCATGATAGTTTAATAGAAATAGTGTTTTATAGAAACAGTAATAATTAAATCAAATAAAAAAAAACAAAATAAACTTACAAATACAAAGTCCTCCTTTTTATCGTCATAATCTATGTTACATTCTTCCATGCATTTAGGGGAGCAGTCGTCCACTTCCATTTCTTGTTTACCACAAACATAACCCTTGTTTTGAGTGCTAGATACTTTTGACTGCTTTTGAGGAACATCTTTATGCCCTTCTACTAATTTGGGAGGAAATTCATTACTCTTTCTTTTCTCTCTAGCCAATTGAATAAGATCCATGTTCTGTTTTTTCTGAACTTTCTCAACATTGGGTAGTTGGGCATCTGGTTTATTTGAAGTATCTTGATTATTTATAGATTCTACATTTGGTTCTGAAGGTTGATATTTTCTTATATAAGGTTTTTCTTCTACAGGTTTTGAAGGTAAAGGAACTGCAACATTGGCTTGTTGTTTTAGTTCTTCAGGATCTTTATCAATAACTCTTATCATAGCTCTTCCCCCCGTTAATCCTAAGCTTTTCAAGGTTACACTTTTAAGTTCTTGACCGTACATTTCTCTTCTGGTATAAATAACTACTGGACTTCTATTATCACCAAGACAATCTGGGCATATTTTAGTAAGTATATTAAGTAAAGTCTCACTAGGATTGAAATTACCAATTAACCTACTTCCATTTTCTAAATTTACTGCCAAAGTGACTTCAGTTTCTAATCTTGCTTTAGTTGCACCAACAAGTTCTAGTTGAGCATTATTAGGCAATCCAGAAAATCTAAACGTTGATGTTGTATCTAATATTTTATTATGATGTTTTAAGTCATAATCTTCTGGTTTTAAGTTTTGCTTCTTACACACCTCCTCTAAAATCTAAAACATGGGATAATTAGGACATTTAATAATAATATTACATAAAAAATGTGAAAAATTATAAAAATTAACAAAACGCAGACAATAAATTATTCATTGATTTGCGCACTCTCTTATGGATGTTTGACATACTATAACAGTGGCCATGACAATAAAACGTAATTGTGATAAATTGTGACGAGTACACCAAATTTTTATCATCCACAAGGAAACTAAGTTCCTGTAGTTGGCTGTATACCATGTATCACAAAAAATTTAATAAAATCCTTTATAAAAGGTATATAATTTAAAAACCCAATCGGGCTATATCACAATAACAAAACGTTTTCGGAATCCATGTTCCATCATCAGTGTCCTAAAAAGCATATAATATATGGTACATATAAACATATAAAGCGTATAATATAAGGTTAATACAAAATGTGGTTAATACTTACTAGGTGTACATGTAAATATCTGGGTAAAAACCCGTTAAAAGTTAATATGTTTAAATTTAGTTTACATAATTTGATCTTATATATTAAGATGTTAAAGTTACCAGTGGATTTGGTAACATGGCAACGTACGACTCCACATGAAGTTGCTGGTCCTGAGACAAAGTGTCTACCAGGACTTGATGATAGCAACTGATTGAACTATGATGATTGCCGACCTCCGCCGCGGAGATGGCACTTGAAGAAGAAGATATTTGAAAGTACTATTAAGTAAATAAAATAAAATGCTTTTATAATGTAATGTTATAGAAGGCTCTGTATGTTAAAAAACAACATTTTGTACCTGGTAAATATAAAACTTTTAAAGTTCCAAGTTCATGAACATGAATAACTGATTAGGTGTTATCGGGTGAAGTTAGTTAGTTGTTTTTGTGTGTTAACAACTATATGAGACGAACAAAAATTGATGGTTGAGACGTGGATTTGTAATATTATGATCATACATTACTCAACTTATAACTTATGAAGAAAAGGCCGTATCTGTTATAAAGCAACACTAGGTACATGAGAAATATAAAAAGGATAAGTTATAAGTTCATGAGCTTAAGGTGGGTAGATAAAGTTAATAGACTATTGGTGTATATTGACGAGATGTGTAAGAACTACAAAAATAAAATGGTTGTAGGTGGCTCTGTTAAATTTAAGTAAAAAAGGAAATTGGGATGTTATAACAGTTGTGAGAAGAGGAAAGACTCTACAAGAGGCTGAGGTCTCCAGAGATCCGAAACCAAATCCTGAGGGAGCTAGGTGGATAAGTAAAATTCAGATCTTATTTATGTAAAGTTATTTCTATTAAGAAATATATAAACGTAATAATACCATATCATCATATCAATCTCTAACCTAAATACCGATTTATTCTTAAGTCATACAACAAATCACCCGAGATTGGTTATAAGTGTAGAGTCAGTGTTGAATTTTCAAGAGGCAGAAGAATCAACAACTGTAAGGCTTGAGAGTAGCTGGATCTTCGGAAAATTTAAGATCATATATTTCTCCGTCTGTTGAATTATTTTTAAGTACCAGAGTAATCAAAGAAGGTTACACTTTATTACAGTCATTGCATTTTGATAATCACGTGCCGAAATTTAATTTGGTAATCACAGTGCCGAAATTTAATTTGATAACCACACTGCCGACATTTAATGTGATAAACACAGTGCGGGTTTGTTTTTTGTTTGCAAGAAAGATGTTTTTATTTTCAAGTTATTGTCCATGTTGGATGGGTTTTTGTATCAGATGTACCTGATGGTAGATCTGCTTGATGCTTGACCTGTAGGCGTTCGATCATCGCAGAAGGATGTTAGCCGACAGGTGACATGATACGGTGAATTAATCGATTTGTCTAGTGGTGTTAGTAACTGAATGCTTGATGGGAAGTCATGTAGAGGGCATTCCTCAGTTAGCGGCTTATGTGTGGCAATAGATCGACTTGTGTAGCGGTAGTAGTCTTGTTTGATTTTTTCATTTCGAAGTATTCATACGTCAAAATCGGACCAATAGCAACAAAGATACGATATAGTGCCCTTTTGGCAATGTTGTCATGTTTATTGTTATAAAACCCAAATACTGTTGGATTCATCTGTACTGTAAATTTGGAATGTAGCTAAGATTAGTTCGACCGCCTACCAACTAAACTCACTACCTCCCAGTAGTGCACCCGGAACTTTTTTTGGCGAACGTGAATTCAGGCGCACTGCCGAGGTTGCTAAACTACACGGTAATAAAGTATCGTATTTGGTATAGAGCCCCGAAGATAGACTGAAGGTAAATTACTCTACGGCGTCTAAGACCATGGTATGGATAATTGGAGAAAACTGGTGTAGAAGGTCAGTATCATTATATATCATGTTTAGAACCCTGGTTTAGATCTAGATGCTGTTGAGCCGTAGATGCTGAAATCAGAGAGAGGTACAGGAGAGAGAACATGTCTGCTATAGCTGGAATACCAAAAAGATAAGAAGAAACTAATGAGAAATAAAATTAAAAGACTTTAAAGAAGAAAAAACTTACATAAACGATGACTTGACAATAACTGAGAAAAAAATGCAAGTGGAAATAAAGAAGAAAGCACAAGAGACCCGAAGAGAATGTAAAACAGTACAAAGGGGGTTTCTGAAGGTGACAATAGATGACAGAGTATAAAGATATAACCGAAAAAAAGGAGAACTAGACCCACCAGCAAACCAGAGCCGATCAGCAGGGATGGATCAAAGGATAATGGAACTATAGCGATGAACGAGGGCTTGGAGGGATTATCAATACGGGAAAAAGGAAAATCAGGAAAAATGAATATCATTCGGGTACAATACGGATAGGTTCCTGGAACATGAGAAGTATTTATGAAGCAGGTGCTCTAAAACATATAGTGTCAGTAATGAAACAATACAAAGTGGATATCCTCGTAATGCAAGAAATGAAACAAAATGGAACTAGTGTAACAATTATAGACAACTACAGCTTTTTCAGTAATGGTGGGGAGGACCGAATGTTGGGAACGGGATTTATAATTAGTAACCGGTTACAAAGTGCGACAGTAGAGTTCTAGACAATATCTGAACGGATTTATAGACTTAGACTAAGAGATAAGACTAGAAAACTAAGTTTAATAAATGCGCATGCTCCTTCAGAGACGAAAGACCAGCATGTAAAACAGGAATTCTATATTAAAATTGAACTTATATATAATCAAATTCCAAAATATGATATTAATATTGTAATAGGTAATTTAAATGTTAAGGTGGGGAATGCAGAGATGTACCGAAAAACTACTTGAATAGTTACTTCGATCACAATAAAATCCACAAAGAAACATGGATCACTCCAGACGGTAGAAGACACAACCAAATCGACCACGTCCTAGTGGAAAGCAAGCACGCGAAATTAATAAAAGATTTTAGAAGTTATAGAGGGGCAGACGCGCATTTCGATCATATGGTAATGATCACGAAATTAAGAAAAACTGTTCCAGGTCAGAGAACAGAATATCGTATAAAAAATATGACGCCGCCAAACTAACGAACATATGCACCGCTGACAACTTCCAGGCAGGGGTGACAGCAAAACTACTTTAAAGCGAAAACCAAGGTGACATCGAAATTTAGAGGGGAATGATAGCAGCAGCAAGGGTTAGAGGGTCGCAAGGGCGACTTCTTTGTGAACAGGCCAAGACCCACACCGGATTGTCGAGCCACTTATGATAATGATGAAGGAAGCAGATCAAAAGCGGTTAGGTCAAGTAAAGAAGAGGCAAACGAAACGAGGCAATACTAAAATATATGGACAGACAAGAAGGCCACTTAATAGTAGATAAGCAACGGAAGCTAGATAGATCAAGGTGTACTTCCAAATATTTAGCACAATTAGTTTGTACTATAGTCGTACTTGCAAATTGAAAAATCAGGTTAGGTATCGTTCCGGGTCATTTTAAAATAATTATGTTTTGCTGGACGCCAGCTTTAAGTCATTAGTTGTCATCCACCTGTTAAATGTTCTCCAGCATATTATTAACTTTATTTATTACATCCAAGTTTATATTACCTTCTATTAGTACGAGGGTGGATTGATATAAAACTTGCCTTTGATAGATAAAACAAGTTTTTTGGAATTAAATCGATTTATTTCTCAACATAGTCAACTTTTAGCTCGATACACTTAGTAAGACGATGTTCCAATTTTTTTATCCCATCCGAATAGTACTTTTGCTCGAGCTCTTCAAAATAGGCCGAAGTTTCAGCGACGACTTCATCATTTGTTGCAAAATGGCGTCCTCTGAGCCATTTTTTTAGGTTTGAAAACAGGAAAAAATCGCTGGCGGTAAGATCTGGGGAATACGGTGGGTGTTTAACCAATGCATAGCACAATTCGTGTACTTTTGCATGGCAACGGCCGATCGGTGAGCCGGTGAATTGTCTTTGTGTAAGAACACTTTTTTCGTTCCAAACCGGGGCGTTTTCGACGCAATTCGGCATCGAATCGATCCAATAATGCTGCGTAGTACTCACCATTGATTGTTTTTCCTTTTTCCAATTAGTCGATGTGTATGATGCCCTTCGCATCGCAACAGTCGCCATCACTTTGCCGGCCGAATGTGCACTCTTTGTCTTCTTCGGCGGCCCTTCGCCGCGTTTGCGCCACTGTTTCGACTGTTCTTTGGTTTCCGGTGTGTAATAATGCACCCAGGTTTCATCAACGGTGATAATTCACACGTTTTTGCACTTGATCTATTGTCAGCAAACTCGGCACAAATCGTGCGGATAGCTTTTTGTTGTGTAAAAATGTGTTGAACTGTTTAGGACCTCTATTAACTCACGGAGCTTAATTCGACGATCTGCCATAATAATGTCATGGACTTTGTTGATCATTTCCGACGTGGTGATTTGGTGGTTCATTTGGCCTCCCGGGACGCTAATCATCAAAAACACTCGTACGACCATGAACAAATTCAGTTTTCCAAAATTTTACTGTTGCTAAAGAAGGTGCAACCTCACCATAAACTTCGTCCAGGTCGGCTTTGATTTGAACATTCGTTTAACCCTTTTTGCGGAGGAACTTAATCACCGAACGATACTCGACTCTTTCTATTTCAGAGAAAACACAAAATTTGCTTGCTTTTGACGGCTGTTAAAACCAAACTAATTGTTTTTAAAACTTAAAATTTGGACAGACGTCATGTCATGGCAAATGTCAACACCGAAACCAATTCAGCATCAAGTAGCGCCATCTATCAAAGGCTAGTTTAATATCAATATATCCTCGTATTGCTAAGTCGTCGTATGCATATGGTATTGCTGATGCACCTATGCCGTAATCTATTTCTAACACCCCGTTCTACAAACCGTTCCACAACGTTGGACCTAATACTGACCCCTACGGTACACGTACAGCTTTTTTTCTTCATTTGCTACTTTAATATATCTGTCGGTGAGGTATTTTTTAACTATATTTTTCAGGCAATCTGGCATTCCAGCAGTTTCCAATTTTCCTATGATGTGTGCCCAGTTGGCATAATTGAAGGCATTCTTTACATCGAACATAACAAGGATTCGCATTATTGTTCTTTTGACTGTCAGATACGAATTTCACCGCGTCGATGGCTGATCTAGTTTTTCTAAAACCGTATTTGCTGATCAGAAATGGTTCCTGTATTTAAGAGCTCATGTTTAATACGGCGTGTTATAAGGCTTTCATAAAATTTCTCCATACAATATAAAATAAAGGGCTATATGAACTAGCTCCGTCCGGTGATTTCCTGAATTTGAAGATTAAAGCTAAATTTGCAATTTTTTTTTAAGATAAAAATACGTTTATTGACGTTTCAATTTCCACTTCGGAACTCGTTCTCAAAATACAAACAGTAAATTAAACAAATTTTGTTTTTTGTTACATAGTGAAAAATTCTTCTAATAATTTAATTCTATCTGACTCATTTATATTGACAATTCAGACATACATTATGCATTTTAAAGTAGACGACTTTAAAATGATATTGCCAATATTGTTGAGTTGCGCTCCTGGGACGACTTTACTTATACGATAGTTCATTCGATTACATGAAATCAACTTTAACTTGATAATGAATTACATGCTATGATTTTTTTTTGACGGATATTCTCAAGTTAAAGTTGATTTCATGTTAAACGGAAAAGACATGAATCATTGAATAAAAATCGAATGAACTATCTAAAACTGGAAACAAGGGGATTTGTCAATTTTTAGAAATAGAAATTCGAGGTTATTAGGAAAAAGGGTTCTCGCAATTTCATTTCCTTTTGTTTTCTGTTATTACTTTTCACCCCATATATCGTTGTTCAGCGCGTCGCATAAGTTCGGTCAGCATGTGCGTTTTTTCTGCTTCATTTCTTTAATTAACTCTTTTGTTATGAATATCCTTCCAAGTTTTCATGGGTCCTTTTTCTTTGTGATATTTGCCTGACTCTGAAGCATTTTGTTCTGTTAAGCAGTATTTCATCATTCTATCAATAGGATGCGGTATATATGACATATTGTTTCTTGCTGCTTCTTTTGTGTGTCTGCATTAGGTTTTTATGATTGTCCCCGAAATTAGTGGCTTCTTCTTGTAAGTTACTTATTTTGTTTCTGAATATTTCTTTGTTGAAACTTATCTTTTTCCTACCGCTCCTAGTGACCTTGATGCCAATCTCGTAGAAAATATTTTGTATCTATGAAAAGTAAAAATATTACATACCAGTTAGATATTTAATTGAAATAACTAACTGTTTACAGGGGTAATGTCTATGTGAATTCGGCTCTTACCTCGAACAAAGATAGATTTTCCATTATTTAACACTATTAGATTCGCCGTAGAGATCCATTCTTCCTATAAACCCCCTCTATAGTCATTTAGTGGGGATCCCCATAAAAAGATTTAGCGTTTGTTTAATTATATCACCAGCAACTAAGAAATTCTTTTCTATATGTGACATTTGTATAATGGATTCAACATGCTGTTTATAGAGCTCTCTATGTATCATAGGTGAGTTATAACAGACAATAATAGCTATTCAGTCTTCAGCATGGTGTCTTATGCCTCAACTTGCTTGATTTTTTCTTGCTGGTTCACTCCATCGGTTTTTTTCTCCTAGGGTCGGTTTTAGGTTAAGAAGATTAGTGGGAGATTTGAAAGGTATGTTGGAGGAGCTGGGATAATCCACTCCACAGCTATAGAACCCGGTATCAATCTTCAACCCCCAAACTCGCTCATGTCTCTGGTGAGCTATTTATTTGTTCGATCGGTGGTACTCGTGCTCGCGATTGCCTTACACTAGTAGAGACCAAAACCTAACCGAAGCCAGCTCAGAAGACTTTGCTTTTGGTATAGGTGGGGAGATTATGTACAGGACGCATCTAAACATTCCGTATATGCATTTGGCACCTAGGACTTTTCTATTGGTCCTTTGCAGCATGCGGCCATGTTTCAACCAATAGGTGGAGAGGTGCCAAATACATATACGGAATGTTACTTTAGTGCAAAATTCATATATGGAATTTTAAATCTTCGCACACTAAAAAAGATGACTTTTCAACAAAATCAGAAAAGAAGAGTGACTTTAAATGTTTGTAAATAGTCACTCTGTCAATTCCTTTTAGGATGAAATATGTATAAGTGGATATACAGAAGCATGGTATATGAAATCAAATCTTAACTGTTTTTCTGTTTAATGTTCTTAATCTTTTACACCATTTTTTGTGAATTTGCATTTTTATGCAATGGGAATTGTAGTTTACTAATTGTATAAGCATGAGAGGAGCATTCTTCAGTAAAATAGGACAGTTGCATTGGATGGAACATGTAGAAAGAATGGAAGAAGGCCAAATATCAAACAAAATAAGCAAACAAGTGCCAGCCATAGGAAAAAAAAAGAAGATGAATATTGAAGCTGAAATACATAGAACAAATAGAAAATGATAAAAATAAATAAATTGGAGAAAACAAAACACAAAACAGATCAGAATCAACTTAAATTTAGCTTAAACTATTAAAACACAATGTGATTACATAAAAAGGTATTTTTGATCTTATTCTTAATAGTACTTGGTGATAAATGAAAAAAATCATTACTATTAAATTTGTTTGCATTTCTACATATTCTCTGTAAGGGTTTATTTACAGTATAACTTTGATTATGAAATTCTAAATAAAGTAAGTCTTGAGAGTGTCTCTACAGGGAGTACAGAAGTAAACCTTTTCCAAAAGAGCACTAGCATTAATGCCTCCTTATATTAATTTATATGAGAGATATATGATGATTATGAGAGGACAGTTTATTGAAAACAATCTTACTTTTATCCGTTTTTGTTATGATACATTTTGATAGTTTTTCCACTAATTTCTTATCTAGAGTATATCAAAGTATCATTATAATTTTTTTCTGAATACATTTGTACAAACATCTCAATTCCAGTTGACTATACCAAACCGTAAACAGTAACAGATCCTGTCTATGCTACAAACCAGGTAATTCCTGTTAAGGATTGAAAATATATTTTTTCGACTCTGACAAATAGTTTTCATTTGATCAAATTAAATAGGATGCCATTAAGACAGTAGAGGGAACATTTAAAATATAGAAATGAGAATACTAACTGATTAAGTATAGAATATAGTTAAGAATACTAACGGATTAGGTAAGTGGCAATACATTTCCTAATACAAATCCGGCTTTTAAACTATATTAACATTTATTTGAGTATTTCTAAAACTGAATTAGTTCTCTGAAGGTTTTAAGAAAATATTTAACAGTATGGACAAATGTTTGAGAAGCAAAGCAAAATCTAAAAAGAATTACACAAAATTGTGTTTCATCAAAAATGAAAAATCCGCCAATTTGCCATATAAGCACTTTTTGAAATTTGATCACAGAATTCGACAATAATTCTTACCTGTAAAATTGTTGTATTTGGTGTACATTTTACTGTTTGTCTTCTTCCATTCAAGGCTAGTACACATACACTTGCCCCAGACATATTTTATATTTCGGAAATATTACTATGAGCTTAAAATGTATAAAAATGTTTAAACGGAATTGTTATTTCTATTTACAATTTAAACGTCAAATTTATACCTAACCTATATTCTGATGACTAACATAAATTTATAGAGCTAGAAAATAAAAGCTGAAAGACCAATATATATTATGATCTGTAAAAATTAGAAGAAAAAGAAGACAGTTTTATTAACCTCTAAAACAAAGAAAAACAATTTTAGTTTAAAAACGGTAGTGTTATCAATGTAATATGTTTCGAAATACAATAAAATTAAATTTAATACATAGTCTGAGAAGTTTTTCAGTGGTAGCTGAAGACACTGTTGTTAATGCAACTGTTTCATCTGCTGATACACCTGCCATTAAAAATAATGAACTAACAAAAATTCAGAATGCCAAACCAAGAGTAGTGGATTTAAAAGAAGTTTCAAAAGTTTTACGACCAGGAGCATTATCGTCTATGTATATAAATAAATCAGAAATCTTACAACAGTTAGTAAAGTTAAAAGTAAAGTTGTATGAAATAGAGAAAGATCCTGAAGCTGCTAAGTTTATATTAAGTAAAAGATTTGAGGACATAAAAGATAAGATTATATTCCTTAAAGAATTAGGATTAGAAATTGAAGATATTGGTAACACGATAACAAAGAATCCTTTTATTCTAAAGGAAAGCATAGAAGACCTTCAAGTCAGGATAAATTATTTACAGTATAAAAAATTTACAAGTGAAATGATATTAAGGATTGTTAGTAACAATCCTCATTGGTTAAGTCACAGGTAAAAGTTATGTTTTAATTGTTTGCTTTGAATTAAACTGTAATTTTTAGTACTCAAGATATTGACAATAAACTAGGATTTTTTCAAAGTAACTTTTTATTAACTGGAAATGAAGTTCGACTATTAGCTACTAAAAGTCCAAAACTTATTACATATCCCCTGGAAAAGGTTAAATTATCACATTTTGTTTTAAAGGAAGAAATGGGTTTTAAAGCTATGGAAATTAAGAAAATGATTCTGGATAGGCCACAATTATTGAAGAATGGTATGCAATTTTAGTTTTAAAATTATTCCTGTTGCCAACATTGAATTACTCTTTTACTTTTACAAGTTTCTTAGGATTGTATATTGTTCTTTTGCTTTTAGGTCAAAATAAACTTCTTAGTACATTTGAATACTTACACAACACTATGAAAATACCTTTGGAAATGATAAAAATATTTCCAGAAGTTCTTAATTGTAGGGTAAAGAGACTGAAGGAGAGACATCTATTTTTAGCTAGATTAAAGAAGGATCTGTATAATCCCAAAGAGCCAAACTATGTAGCATTAACAACCTTAGTTTCTGGCACTGATAGTTATTTCTGTACTGAAGTAGCACAATCTTCAGTACAAGTTTATAATGAGTTTTTAAAAAGTTTGTAAATGAAAGTACCAAATGTATTTATTTATAATAAAAACCATTATTATTTTATCACAGCCAGATCCAAAAATCATATTTTTCTTCTCCCCTCCCTTTTACCCTATCAGGGTGTCGGATAAAATAATATTTTAAATAACAAATTAAACATTTTTTTCAAGTCACATTCTTGAAAAACCATAAAAATTTAAAGAAAATCGATAGATGTTCTAACATACAGTGTGTTCACAAATGGGGTGCACAAGCATGGAAGCTTATTTATTTTTAACAAAAAAAAAAATTCTTAGCAAAATGTTTGCTTGGTCTAACCCCATAAAATTCAAATTTTTCAGAATTTGCTTCATTTTATACTCATGTAAATCCCGAACTTTTGCACTAAGTTATAGTACAAGATCAAGATCCCACTGTAATATATTGATAATAGGTTGCTAGTCAAAAAATGGCCGTTTTATATCAAATTAGAGTAAATTTTTTTTAATGTAATGATATAAGCTTGTCTGAAAAAAATTCGTCTCAAATTAGGGTTGTTAGCTATTAAAAACTCAAGTTATCAAAGATAAAGGTAAATAGAATTATTATAGAGAACAGTGCACAATTACACTGGTTTAACAAGTGATAATATGTATATTATTACACTATCTATCCACGCAATGCTTTAAAACTCACACAACTGACACTTCAAACCAATGGCATTGCATGCTAACTCTATTTTACTTTATCTTTGATACCTCATATATTAAATGACTTGCAGCCCTAAATTGGTACCGCTTTTTCTCAGGCAACCTTTTATCATCATATTAAAAAAAATTAGCTTTAATTTGATATAAACACATGCATATTATTCATGAGTAGCATATTTTATTGGTTCACGGCGAACATGGGTGTCCGACTTGAAATTTGAAATTCGCTGCCTGGGCCAAGGCGGACACCAGCATCCTCTTGACTTTAAATTTTTCATCATCCGTACCCGGTCGCCAGGACTTGATTTTATGCGGTTTTTGTTTGGCAATGTACAATCGGGCCTAAGAAATAATTGACGATATGGCAACACTGTCAATATGTTGAAGTTACATCGAGTGTGAAATGTCAATGTCAAATACATTTATTTATTATAGGTTATGTTCATTCCTGTAAGCCCTAAATTTACCCCAAACCCCATTTATCAAACTATATCATAGTGATATCATAGCAGTGCCCTAAACTAATCATTAACCTCATTTAAAAAAATTTTCTTTGATTCATCAAATGGAAGTAAAACAAGAAGTCAGGGAGGGGCCGAGTAAAATAGAAATGTTTAATAATGAGGTATGTGATGCTCTTCCTGGTACTTTTAAAACTGAAGTTAAAGAAGAATCCAAGGTCCAGTTATATACAGATGATATATTCAATTACCTAGATTTAAAGGAATATCCTATAAAAACGGAAATAAAAGATAAAGCTCAAGCAATTGAGGAGAGTAAGTAAATAAAAGGAATGTATGTACATTAACATTTAGTTTTTTAAACAGCCCTATTATTAACAAAATCGCTGAATTTTATAGTATATTTCAATAGCAATTATAGGACCAACCTCTTGAATTTCATATAAACAATGAATACTGTATGCTACTTAGACTTATACCATATCGCACCCTTAATGATAAAGTAGCACAACTCAAAAAAATATGATTTTGCAGAAAACTCAAAAAATGTTTCTATAATTTGGGTTATCTCTGCTGTATCGTCATGGCTGCTGAACCTATAATATTTCTAAGGCGATACATTTCACCAAAAAGAACATTGTTGTTTTCAGTGTACTCTGTGGACATTTTCTGTAATGTTATAATTTTGTTATAATTGAACTTTTGATTTTTTTATTAAAAAAACATCACTTTAGTACTAAAAATTTTTTAACATGAAAGCGTTATTAACAAATATGTCAATTTATGATTGAAAGTAAATCTACAACATACGGACTATTTTGAAATACTTCTATTTAATATTATAATTTATAATTTACCTATTGTTGTTAAATAAGACATATCATCTTACTACATCAATAAACTAAAATTAATGTTAGGTTTGTAGTACATATAAAAATTAATACAGGTTTTATTCCTAGGTTCAAAAACTAAAAGATGTAAAGGTTAGACAAGCAATTATTTGTTTCTGCAGACTCTAAATAAACATTGGGCATACACAATAACAGTGATTAAAAAAAATTGTCAACAGTAAAAAATGTATTTAAGCATAAGTTTCTATAAGTCCGCATAATAATTTGGAATAAGATTCTTGGAAATTAGCACTTGGAGATTTTTTTTCTTATTTTCATATTCTTAATTCTATTTTTTTCTTATATGCACATACCAGAATTATATCCTCCAAGAGAGGCATTATTATTTTTATACATCTTATTTAGTTTATATAAGAATTAAATTACCTATCAAATTATATTTAATTCTATTTTATTATTAATTTAATATTTTGTCTGAATTTGACAGGTCTTTTAGAATCAAACAATGTATGCTTTGTTAATATGTTACCAGGTGGCATTAGGAGCAAACATATTAATTTATTAAATTATTTTAATATAATATGTTTAAAATATAAATAATAAATAAATAATAAAATGACTTAAGCAATTGAATTTTAAAAATACAGAAAACAATAGTATAAAACTTCACGCTAGTCTACTGTAACTTTTTTTTTTCGGTCAGTCATTAATAGTAAAGAAAAATGCCTTATTGTTTATTCTTGGCACTCCCCATTTCATTGGATTTTCCCTCTGCATTTTAGACAACATTTGTCAAGGCAAGGTAATATTTTGAGCCTCAACAACTTTTTTAAATTTAGACATTGAGACATTTATTAAATTTTTCTGTATTCTGTTTCCATTTGTTGATTCGTAAATGGGTTTTTTACTCTTTTTAACTTGCCAGATAAGGAATCGCTAGTACAAGAGCTGCTATTTAATAAGTTCCTTCAATGACCCTTCTACTCAACTTTGTAGGTACGATCATTGTCACTTACATCTGCATCGCCCCCATTATAATGACATGGCAAAACATAATAGTTCACTGTTTTCTTTCAGTTAATGTAAATTTTAGTAGGATTATCAGGGTTAAAAATACATACAAATTGTTCACCTGTTCACTACACTTACGATAGTTTTCTTCTGGATTGTCTTTGTAACAAAACAACTCCTAAAACAATAAAACAATATAAAATTGTAAACTTATAATTTGTGCCTATAAAATAATAAAAATCATCAATATGATATAATAACTATAGTACCTCTGCACATCCAATGGTTTCCACAGTTAAACTTTCTTTAGAAAGTTTAACTGTGTTCTTTAGTTGGGTTTGTACATGATCTTGATTCTTTCCTGTGGGAACAAAATATCTAAATATTTGATAATGACCCAACTGACAATATGCCTGGTTATTATTCAGAGAAAAAAATATGTTAAATTTAAGTAATAAACTAACACAATCCTAAATGTTTCAATGAATGATCACACTCTTCCTTTTACTGCTGACATAACACTAAAATGGGTCAGTTTATAACTGAACCATCCAAATGAAACAGTTTGGTAATAAACCAACCCAAGGAGAAAACTACTCACAGAGATGTCCGATTTCAACATGTGTTAGCATTAAATCAATTTAGGGGACTATGTTTGGTCTTAAAATTCAAGAATTTTGAGTTGTGCCACTTTATTAATAAAGGTGTAATATGTTTTATTGCCATTGATTATAATAAATCGTTTTTTGTATGTTTCCAATATATTTATTCAGTTTATATTTTAGCTATGGAATTTAAAGTTGAAATTAAAGAAGAGTTTATTGAATGTAACCAACAAGATATAGAGAGTCAGCTATCAACATCAATAGATATGGACCACTTCAAAATTGAACTAAAAGATAACTCAGGTGAGACAAGTAGCAAAAATTGGGTACTAGTTTGTACTTAATGGATAATTACTAGAGGGTATGCCCCAAAAATACTCAACTGTTTTTAAACTTAGCTACCAAGTGGATACTATGAGTAGTTAAGCAAGAGTTATTGGGTATTACAGTTAAGCAAAAGGGTAGGACATCTACGAAACTGAAATTTATATCAATGAATTCTGTTTCACTTAAGGTGCACTTACATGGACAACAAAAATCGCTCAATTATGAGCAATGATGATCAATGTAAGATCAAAAACAAAAGTCGAGGACATAACAACAAAAATTGTCAAAATTAAATGGAGCTTCATGGGCCACACTGCTAGACAAAAAGACCAACATTGGAATACTACAATACAACATTGGGGACCTTACGGAAGTAAACAACCAAGAGGAAGACCTCAGATGAGATGGGTGGATGGCATTAAAAGAATAGCCGGAACAAATTGGAAATATGTTGCTCAGGATAGAGACTGATGGAAGGAGTTGGGAGAGGCCTATGTCCAAACATGGACGATAGAAGGCTGAAGAAGAAGAGCAATGATGGTCGACCAAGTATCAAGCAATTTATGGCAACAGCAACAAGCATTAATTGGGAAAAATGTTTAGCAACTATTGAGTGATAAGGAGAAACTAGACAGTACTTTCATATGTTAGAGATCAATTCATACTGCACTTGCCATGGACAATACAGTGGCAGCTTATATCTATGTAGCTATTATCAAGAGACAAATCTGGAAGCAAGTGATGCAAAATAGAAGACACTGGATTGATTTGGGAGAGGCCTATATCCAAAGTTGGATTACTTAAGGCTGAAGAAGAAGAGACAAAAGCAAAAAAGAAAGAAAAGGAGTAGGCATGTATGGGTGCGAACAGTTTAAGCAACATGGATGCAAACTTCATTGTGTTGTGAATTAAATGATACTTTATTCAAAAACTTTACTAGTATGTCCCAAGGTTTCCTAGCTACTGGAGATTCATACACAAGTTTAATGTATCTGTTTATAATTTCTGAAAGTTGCATTGCACTATTGCAATAAAAAATTGACTTGAATTTCTATACCCACTGGATATTCAGTAATTCATATCAGCAACATTGAGCAATATGGAGTATATAGAACAATTAGAAGCAATATTGCTGAAACAATTGCTGCATGTAGTTCCACTTATTACTTTAGACTGATCTATTCAGGTCGAGCAATTATAGCTAAAATTGCCATAATAACGCACCATTACTGATTAATGTGCAATGCTTTTTATTGGGTGCTCAACATGCTTATTTAAGTATTTTCCTTTTAAAATGAGTCTTGATTAAAAAAGCCGCTGCCATGAGCCATGAAACGACAGATACAACTCCAGAACAACTGTATCAATTTAACTAATTTTGATTTTGAAATATTTGTTAAAGTCCAAGGAAGGTTTAAAAGATAAGAAAATATGATTAGATTGTAAGAATAGTAAAAACATTAATTTAATTTTCACATACAAACAGTTATGCAGTAGGTTAAGTTTTGGATTAGATATTGCAAACTACATAAAGTGCTAAAATTAGCAATATTGCCAATATTACGAGATAATTGTAATTCTCCGATGCCCTCCGACACCTTAGTGTTAGACTCCTAGTCAGAAAACGAGTAAACGAAAACCATTTAGTAACACATAATAACGCAAGAGATATGCATCTACGTTCGTCGATTTTTTTTTTTGCTTACGTAAACCCGGTTCATTCCTTATGACATAAACTCTAAAAATACACTGACCATTATAAAGCGGTGCATTTGTATTCGTTTTTAATAATATGAACATGTTTTAGTGGTTGAATTAAAAATAAAAGCGCATTTCTTTAAAAAGATAAAACAAAAAATATACTCTTATTGAAAATAAAAAACAATTCCCAATAAAATAAGAAATAATTCTTTATGCCCTACAGAAGTTATTCAAATATTTGAACCTTATTTGGCTGAACCAATCTGTCATAAAAACTTCTGCAAACAGATGTAAGAGTTTCTGCTGTAACATAATTGGAGACTTCTCTTATTCGGTTTTTTAATTCATCCAAATTTTGGGCTCTAGCCTCAGGATGATCGTAGATTATGCTTTTTAAATATCCCCAAAGAAGTCCATGCGTGGAAGATCTGGAGATCGCGCAGGTCACTTAATATCGCCTGTTCCACTGATAACAATACTACCTAATTATTCGAGCGTTGTGAACTGAACAACAGTCTTGATGGAATCAAACATTCTCCAGATTTACATCGGGAAGATTGAGAATAGCGGAAAGAACATGATTCTGTAACAAATCGAAGTATACTTTACTGTTCAAGTTGTCCTCAATAAAAAATAGACCTATTATGTGGTCTCCTAAAATGCCAGTCCAGACATTGAGGAAGTTGAGTTCGGTAAACAACACTTCTGTACTGGTTTTCCTCGTCCTCGCCGATACCCCGTAATGGAAGGATTGTGTCTCCCTATTAAGGAAACAGAAGATTCATCAGTAAATAAAATGTTTTTAATAAAATTGTTTTCGAATATTTAAAATTCTTGTAACCATGCTTTTGCCATACTTTCGTTACAGTATCATCTAACTCTCTACCAACGCTTCTACTTGAACGTGTTGAATATACCTCGATTGTTGCACAAATTTGTGTATCCCGGTATTCTCTTTCCTCAACTTTTTCTTGTGACATTTTCTGCAATTTTTGAGGCAATAACAACTCTCAAAATGTTTAACAATATTATGAACTGACTGTGCGCAAAGAATTGGTCTCACCTCAAAAAACATAGAATATAAATTTACACACTGTTTTCACAGAATAAGAAACAATCAGAATGCCCACTCTCCTTGTCAAGATAAATACGCGATTCTCGTTCGCGCAGACAGAATCCCATGTTTTAAACGGAACCAGTGCTGTTCAGTGGAAATTTATCTGGCGTGCGTTAAAATGTTCAGTGGTAGCGTGCGTTAGCACAGAATAAGATTCTCAGCCTAGAGAATTTTGTTACGTCTCATTTTAAAGCCTTTTTAATATTTCTGTGAATATATATATATATATATATATATATATATATATATATATATATATATATATATGGATTATATAAATTATTTATATAATTATACAAAATATATGTAAATTTAAATGTAAATGTGTCAAATGTCATACGATAAATAAATAAATTTATATAATAATTGTAGATAAGATAAGCAAGTCACACATGGTATGTGCAGCAAAAAATTGCAATAACAAAGCCTATACTTGAAATGTGTCTTTTTTCAGTTTTCCCATTAAGTACTTCACTGTTTTTTTTATTCTACAGGGCGTCACACCATGACTAAAATTTGATGTCATATATAATGACTATCATGTAGAATTCTATTTCTGATTAATCCTAAACTTATGTTAAATTCAAGTCATATTATTGATGTCTTTGTTAGCCAAATGACGACGAGTAATACATTAATTTCATTATCATATACATACATCTTTCACACACGGCGTTCATATTTGTTACATATTTCTATAAAAAGATTATATTTTTTTAGATCCTCAAACTTCTCAAGATGATAATGACTCTCCTACCAAAATAAACATTTTACATGACTTAAGGGTAATGGCACCTTCTACATCTGCTTTTGAAATGCCAAGTACCCTTACTCTTACAGTTCCTGTTCCAATACTCTCTTCCGATAGTACACAAACTGACTCCAATTTGTCATCTAATTCGCCTAGAAAACACCAACTCAGAAAATTAGTCAAGCAACTTAGAAATGAAAATAACTATTTAAAAAAGAAAACCGAGAAACTTAAACAAGAATTAGAAATAGTAAAAAACAATAGTGTTGAAAATATTTCTATTCAGCAGTACATGTTGCTAACTCATAAGTTTTGTCCGTAGCAGGAGACAGCAGATTTCATAAATATGCATATTTCACAACATCAAAAACTTCCTAAAGGACATAGATATTATTTAAGAGTTTAAAAGTGAGTGTCTTGCTATTTACTTTACAGGTCTAAAATTGTATGAAACAAAATTGAGAAAACAGTTTTGTTTGCCAAGTTCAAAAACTTTACTAAAAGAAATTGGTAAATTACAAATCGTAGCTGGGTTCAATCCTACACTTTTTGAAATTCTTAAAATGAGAGTTAATAATTTTTCTGATGAGGACAAATTATGTATGCTATGTGTTGATGAGACCATCAAAAGTAATTTATTTTATGCCATTAACTCAGCTAATATTATTGGACTGGAAAACGACGGTACAGGTTCCAAAAATTTCAAACCAGCATTAACTGCGACTGTATTCATGATTAGAGGTATAAAAAATAAGTGGAACCAACCTATTTGTTTTAAATTTTTTACTTCTTGTTGTCCAGTTAAAATTTTAAAATCTACTGTAACTGATATTGTAACAACATTAAAGGAAATGGGTTTACCAGTAGGTGTCTTAATGGGGTCATGGGGTCAAATAATATTCAATTGGCTAACCTCTTAAATGTTGCTCCAACAAATCCCTATTTTTTTGTAAATGATCAAAAAATTGCATTTATGTTTGATACCCCACATCTTCTCAAAACTGTTAGAAATAATTTTAAAAACAAACTTTTATCAAAGAAGGTGGACATGCAATTTCCTGGAAATATATTGAAACCTTTTATAATTTAGACAAATGTTATCATCTAGAGCTGCTCCAAAATTAAAAAAGATTCTCATATTTAACCAAATAATTTTGAGAAAATGAAAGTTAAATTTGCTAGTCAAGTCTTTAGCCAAACAGTGATGGCTGGTTTGAATATATATACACGATTTGGAGCAATTCCTGCTAGTGCCAGTAGCACAGCGAAGTTTGTAGATATGATGGACAAATTATTTGATCTTTTAAATTCCTCACATACTAATATAGGCAAATAATTTGGAAGAGCTTTTAAGGAATTACAATATCAGATAGATTTTTTAAGGGATTGTGGCCTAATTTTTAATAATTTGAAAGTAATTGACGAAGGTGGAAATGATGTCACTAACAGGATAACATTTTTGAAGTGTTTCCGAGTCACAAAAAATGAGTTAATAGTATTATGGGACATTTTAAAAGATACTTTTGAATTCATATTTACTCGAAGGCTTAACCAAGACTGCTTAGAGATTTTTTTTTTGGAAAATTCGACAACAAAATGGTAATTGTATGAATCCCACTACAATACAGTTGCAAAGAACTTTAAAAAAAATTATTTGGACGTCTGTTAAATTCAGGAACAGGTAATTGTGAAGATGATATGGATAGAATACTACTTCGTTTACACGATGTTCCATGATTCCGTTTACTCGAAAAGGGCATTCTTGGGAATCAAATGCCAGTTCTCCAGTTATTTGGAGCTGAACAGGAAATAATTATTGGTCGTGACAAAATTATTTACATGAAAACATTTTTCAACGTTACGTGTGTGGTTATCTTGTTAGAGAATGTTTACAAGTTCATTCGTGTTTGATTTGTGAAAAATATACACGTGGTGTAGAAAATTTAGATGTAACAACTTTATTTTCATCAGCCTATGAATGTGGCAGCAGTATGTTTGGAAAATTAATGATGACGAATGAAAATGTTGTTATTTATATTTCACATTTAGAAGTTTTGTTTCAGAGTAAGTTCGAGGAAGTTTGTGTTCAAACAGATATCCTAAAACATTTACTTATTTTTAGTGAAAAATAAGTAAATGTTTTAGGATATAATATATAATAGGATATAAATAGAGTTAGATCATCCGTGCACAAATTTCCCTCGAGTGAATTCGATTCACTGCTGCGCGGTTGATGTACTTTTGTGTTTAAATAAAAAAAACTTTAAAGATCTGAATACATAAATTCTAATTGTTCTTTTTCTCACCTTCCTGGATCCTTCGGAAAGTAAACAACCTTTCATTTCATTTCAAACATGTATTTTTACAATTTTAATGGCACATTATGGATTCACTTTTTCTCGACTTGTATTAATTTTATATTTCTAAAATAGTAAAAAAAACGTGAAATATAGTCAAAATACTCATGTATTGTATATAGTGTATCATATACTTTGTATTTAATTATTAGTTATGTAAAAATTAAAAATAAAAAATTTATGAATGACATTTGTTTTTTATTTCTAGTAAATTTCCACTCAATTAATAAATTCTATTATCAGTTGTATATTGATTTTACATCTAAGAATTACTTATGTTTGTATTTCCAATTTAAAAGCGTGTCTATACAAATGTGATTTCTGAAGGTAAAAACAATAATAGATCAGATATTTTTACTACAGTAAATTCTCAATACCATCAATGCAATATCAACAAACACAATCTCATCATAAATGTTGAAAGTGCAAGTAAAATCTTGAGCCACACATAGAATGAGAAAAAGACAATTGTATGTGGAGATGTATAACATTCATGCAAATAGGATAACTTCAGTAAAAGGAACATGAACAGAAACAAATAAATATCAGCTGGACATAAAACAAGAGGAAGACGAAAGATTAGATATAAGAAGCAAATAAAACATTACATGACAATTTTAAAACGCAAAAATTGAAAGAACATACTTCAAAATATAACAAAATGGGGAAGTATTCTTAAACACACCAAGACCCGAAAAAGATTGTGTAAATGAAATGATGATGATAGACAAAAACTTAAAAAACTCTGTGTCTCATTTGAGAAAGGCAATCAGCCGAAACAGCTGTAGTGATAAGAGTTAAAATAAATTTCGTGGAAGTTTGAAAACAAAGTTTTCAGTGTTTTATTGTTACATTGATGAAACTGTTTCTTCTGTGATGAGGATAGAGTGGCTGATATTCGCAAGTGTGTTTGTTGTAGTAAGTATATCCACGAGGAATGTATAGGATTAACAAAAGTAAATGTGCGATATATGTACTTAATGTATTGACAAATTTTGATTTTTAATATGAATAAAAGTTTTTTTCTCTAAACTTTGTATTTATTCTTAGCTTTAAAATTTATTATCCACGGAAATTTCTTTAAAAAATGAAACTGGCCTTATTAAGTTACCAGTTCCAAATAAGGCCAAATATTCAAGTATTTTGTCGTAAAATTCGATAGCTAAAATGGTAGGCAATGCGTATACAAGACTTTTCCCTCAATATTTTTGCTGAATAAAATATTACAAACATTTAAACCTTAACGTGGCCTTAATTGGCGTCCTTACCTTACTTCAAAATACTCCTTTAGATAGCGACTGCATAAACTTTATTATATTATTTGCAGATTTCTACACATTTAATTTAAAAATTTGAATCACCATATTGTTTATAGTTCTAAAAAGATTCAGATATAAAAAAGTATTAAAAGTTAAAATAATATTTTATTTTCTAGTAGGATTTGATCTGTAATTTTAGAAAATGTAAAAATTTAAAGCTAATCATTCCCAGCCTCACTCTTTCATATTTTAGAAGCAGTAGTAGTAGTAGTTTGGGTACGAGGGATTGTGCGGTGGTGAGAGGGATCACATGAGCACTCCCTAGTATTGCAGGAACACAAGTAAAATGTTCCCGCTCAGCATATACAAAAAATTTCGTTGAAGTGTGCTTCTATATGCGTCTATATTCGGTGTTTTTACAATTTTTTCATTTAAAAAAAAAACATGTCTTTCTCTAAATAGCCAGTACCTGGCGTTTTGGTACGTTTCAGTTTTATTTATTGTTATATTTATTCTTACTATATTTTATTACTATTTGTTTTATCCTGCTGTTTATGCACAAATAAATTTTTATACTTTCATTTTTATTTTAGGTTTTTCTCAGAACAGAATGGAAATCATTAAATCTGAATTTGGATGTACTGCAGATCAACAAATAAGTGCAAACACTGAAGAAACACCGTTAAAAAATTCAATTTGTAAATGTAAAATTTGTTTTAAGCAATTTAACCATGCAGGTTCTTTGAAACGACATATGAAAATACACACCGGAGAAGAACTTTACAAGTGTGAAATTTGTTTAAAGCAGTTTACTGGAAGATTCGATTTGAAAAATCATTTGAGAGTGCACACTCGAGAAAAGCCTTACAAGTGCGAAATTTGTTTTAAGCAGTTCACTCAGAAAAGTTCTTTGAATGATCATATGAAACTTCATACTGGAGAAAAGCCTCACAAGTGTGAAATTTGTTTTACCAAGTTTACTAGAGCAACTCATTTAAAACGACACATGATATTGCACTCTAAAGAAAAACCTTTTTATCAGTGCGAAATTTGTTGTAAGCAGTTTACTCACGAATATAATTTGAAAATACATTTGAGTGTGCACTCTGGAGAAAAACCTTACAAGTGCGAAATTTGTTTAAAGCAGTTTACTAAAGCACCTTATTTGAAAAGTCATTTGACAGTGCACACTGGAGAAAAGCCGTACAAGTGCGAAATTTGTTTTAAGCAGTTTACTCGAAGATACGACTTGAAAGGGCATGTGAGTGCGCACACTGGAGAAAATCCTTACAAGTGCGAAATTTGTTTTAAGAAGTTTACTAGAGCCACTCATTTAAAACGACATATGAGATTGCACACTGGAGAAAAACCTTACAAGTGCGAAATTTGTTTTAAGCTGTTTAATCACGAATATAATTTGAAAGTACATATGAGTGTGCACACTGGAGAAAAGCCTCATAAGTGCGAAATTTGTTTTAAGCAGTTTACTAGAGCAAGTTATTTGAAAAGTCATGTAAGTGTGCACAGTGGAGAAAATTCTTAAAGTTCTTAAATTCTTAAAATTCTTAAAAACTGATATTCTTTGTGGTAGACAAAATATTTGTTTGAGAGGGCATAGGGATGATAAAAATATTAAAAGTATTGTAAACAGTGATGGTACAGAAAAAAATGATGGCAATCTTACGAGCATTGCTTCGGTTTAGGAAAGATGCTGGCGATAATGATCTGCGAAAACATTTGGAAACTGCTCCGGCGCTACATTAAGTAGTTAAACTACTCAAAATGATATCATTTCTCGCTGTAAAAAGAATGACTCTGCGATATTTTTATTTAAATAAGATAAGAAATAATTTCATCACATTTTTTATCGCCTACTCGATTCGAGAAGACGTCGGTTCAGAAGGAGAACGCCGGTTAACTAGAGTTGCTTTAGGCCACATTGTTTAAGATTCCGTAAAGAATTTTAATTTAGATTTAAATTTTTGGGTAGGTTTTGGTATCGACAGTTGCTCCGTAATGGCATTCGAAACGAAAGGTGCCGTTAATGAATTAAAAAAATCGACCAAATATGCTGTGTGTTGTTCATGTAACAATCATATTTTGAATAATTCCTTGGCAAGCTCCTCAAAAGTTATATCATGTCGTAATGCTTCAGGAACTATGAGAAAAGTAGTAGCTTTCGCTAATGCCTCTCCAAAACGATAATGATGTTTTTAAGAAGGAACTGAGACTGCTGTCCAAGGTATTTGTGAAACTCGTTGGGTTAAAAGGCATGAAGGTCATCTTCAGTTCCAGGGCGAATCAATCATCAAAATATACAACGCTCTTGAAACAATTTATACGTGGAAGATAGAGATGGGCGAGTCGAGTTATCCAACTCGAGTAAAACCGTAAACGAGTCAACTCGACGTCAGTTCTTAACAACTCGAGCTAACTCGGTCTACGATCACCTTACCACCGATGACGCCTACTCGACCCGACGCGACGATTTCATAGTCTAAGTCTAGTCGAGTTACGAGTTACGTCTAGTCGAGTCGTCGGTGGTCGGTGTTGAGTCGTTGAGTGCAACAGTGAGATTGTGTGTTCGCGTCGATCAGCCATCAACCCCACTCACGTTAACAGCATAAGTTCGGTTTAGACACTATCGAAATTGCAAGAATATTATTTTTATATATTATAATGTCACTTAGAAATAGAAAAAGTGTGGCGTGGGAGTTCTTTGTAAAAAACGACGATAAAACCAAAGTAGTATGCAAATTATGCTCTTGCGAATATAAATACATAGGGAACACTACGTCATTAATAAATCACATAAAGAAAAAACATATAGTTCAGTACAGTGAAGTGATCGGACAAAATTTAACAAGTGAGAGAATAGAGAATAATGCACCCGAACAAAGTTCTAGAACCTCATTGATGAATAGAACAGATTCTCATCAAAACAGTACCATTTTAGCACCATCGCATATACATAATGTCAGAGCATTCAATGAACCCATTCCGAAGCGCCCAAAACAAATGCGTTTAACTGTATCTACAAAAATGAACCAAAAAATTGGTGACGATGCATTATTGGACATGATTGTGGTAGATATGCAACCACTGCAAATAGTTGAAAACGAAGGTTTTACAAAATATACAAACAAATTAAACCCGGATTATATATTGCCATCGCGAAAAAAAATAGCTCAGATGCTGGAAGACAAATACAAAATATGCAGTTTAGAAGTAAAAGAGAAGTTACAAGGTGTAGAGTATATAGCTCTGACAACAAATATATGGAGTTCAGATAGTCAAAAAAGCTTTATAAGTGTAACTGCACATTTTATAAAAGATGTAAAATTGCATTCTATAGTAATTTCAACGACTGAACATCATACATCATTAAATATTTCAAATGCTTTGCGAACAATATTATTAGATTGGGAAATTTTTGATAAAATAGTAACCATTGTAACTGATAATGCTGCTAATATGAAAAAAGCAGTCAAAGATTTCCTAAACAAAAGAAATCACTTTTGTGTTGCTCACACCTTAAATCTTGTCGTAAAAGACTGCATTAGCAATGAAAATGACCGAAATTCTGATTTAAAAAATGCCGCAGTGTTGGATGTTATATTAAAAAGTCGTGCAATAGTGACCCACTTTAAACAGAGTATAAAATCGTCTAATACACTGAGAGATATGCAGAGACAAATGAACTTAGATATTATCAAACTTAAGCAAGACGTACAAACAAGGTGGAATTCGACATATTTAATGTTTGATAGATTATTGAGAGTCAAAGTTCCTCTATCCGCGACTTTACCACTGCTTGACTCACCCCCTCAGGCTTAACATCATCTGAATGGTTAATTTTAGAAGATTGCGTGGCAATTTTACAGCCAATAGAAAAAATCTCCACCGCATTATCTGGGGAATCATATCCGACGCTGTCATGCATTATTCCTCTAGTTAGAGGACTACAAAATTCTTTAATTAAAAAGACTCCAATGACTGAACCTGGAAAACACCTACAGCGATCGTTACTTGAAACTGTAGACAAAAGATTAGGTGTTTATGAAGTTAACCGGACTGTATCAATGGCCACCATTCTAGATCCTTGTTTAAAAAAAAAAGGCATTTGGAACGGACAGTGCTGCAGAAAATGCGGTTAAATATGTATTGGATGAACTGGCACAATTTTAACAAGTTCATGAGCAAATACCAGAACCAGCCGTAGTGTCGACATCTGGAACTTCAGCTAAAGACGATGACGACGATATATGGGAGCATTTTGACAAGAAAATAAGTGACACTGTCATGCAACAGACAACAATCTCCTCTGCTACCATGGTTTTAACACAATATCTAGATTTGCCATATCTAGATAGAAAGCAAGACCCACTACATTTTTGGAGGCAAAGGGAACACATATTTCCTTCCCTATGTCGAATTTCATATAAATATTTATGCATTCCTGCTACCTCTGTGCCATCAGAACGCCTTTTTTCTAAAGCTGGATTACTTACTAATCAAAGAGGAAACAGACTCATGCCAAAAAAAGTTGACCAACTATTATTTTTAAACTCTTTCTGTACTGAAAAAAGGACATATTGAAGCAATTTGTTATTTATACGTATATATTCTTATATTGTAATTTTATTTAAAGAAGAAATATTTTATTATCTGTAAGTATTCTTTACATTCTTTACTTCAAATAAACATTTGATTGAAAATATCTACTATTTTTTATTTATAACAATAATACATATATCCTATTGGTTTCCTAATTGTTTAAAAATATCAACAACTAGTCTTGTGCCTTCTAATGGTCGCTGCTACGACACCAAGTACGACTCGAGTCAACTCGAGTTGATCGATATATCAACTCGATCAACTCTAGTCAGAAAATATCCGACTCGTCACATAGCTAGTGGAAGAACAGTAGAGCTGGTGCATTTTCATTAATGCAAACTATTAGGAGCCCAGAATTTCTTATTTCAGTAGTTTGTCTTAGTGATGTTTTAGGTACAACTGTATCACTTAGTCGTCTTCGTCAGTCACCAAAATTAGATTTGAAGAAGGCTACTGAGGCCATAGAGGAAACTAAATGCGTTTTTCAAAATAAAAGATCAAATGCTGAATATGTTTTTAGCAAACTTTACTATGAAGTAAAGGAAATAGCTGAGCAACTGCGTATCAGTTCCTCTCTTACAAAGATATCTATGCGGCCTACAAATTTTTGAGTCAACACCCACGTTTCACCCATAGCTCACTATCGTTCGGAGTGTTTTTTTAACTCCATAGTAGGATTATGTTATGGTCTTGTAGGTTCGTATTTTAATTCTTTGATGTACGTCTCTTGTTTTAAATGTCGGGCTCATAGCAAAGTATGCTGTATTGGCTAGGATGATTCTTCTGCTAAGCTCTGCATCGCCAATGTTGTCATTTGTGATGTTGATTTCTAAATAGATAAAGCTATCTACTTTTTTGAAATTGTTAGGTGGTGTCGTGTTGCTCTCTCCGATCGACTGGGTACGAGGAATTTAGTCTTTTTTGGTTTATTGACAGGTATTCTGACCTGTTGCTTTGGTTTTGCTCATGTTTTGGTTTTAACTGGCATATGCTGCCAGTTAAAACACATGCAGATGACTGGGAATAAGCCACAATTAAAGATAAAAATACGTTTATTGACGTTTCAATTTCCACTTCGGAAATCGTTCTCAAAATACAAACAGTCAATTTACTGTTTGTATTTTGAGAACGATTTCCGAAGTGGAAATTGAAACGTCAATAAACGTATTTTTATCTTTAATTGTGGCTTATTCCCAGTTTAATAGTAATTAATTTACAATGCCACAAGAAAATAGCTTCAGAACAATATGCAGATGACATATGCTAACACACAAAAAACATTGCACGGGTGTTATAGTCTCCTCGTATTTCGGTGAGCCTGTGTAAAACTGTAATAAAAGCAGGCAATAAAAATTAAAATAATATTACTCTACCAGGAGTAGTTACTAACTGCAAAATTATCAATGACTGAGATGTATAATAATACAAAGTTTTAATATTCTCATTGATATTTACATTCAGATGTGCCTGGTATTATGTTTGAAGATGTGTACAGTCGCCCAGATAAAGTTATCACCGATGCATTCTTTGCGTGAGATACCAATATATGCCTAAGCGACCGAAACAATAAAGTAGCTTATCCGAATAAATTTCGTTTCGACCGTCCAGTGGTTTGGTAGGTAGGTAGGTAGGTATATTTTATTTTATTTTTAAACGAAATATTGTTTATTTGGATGAAACCTGGTATGGTACTCATGATACCGTGAAAAAAAGTTGGACGAATAATAACAAAAAGTATTCTAATTCAGTACCGCTCAATAAAGGACATAATTATAATTTAACACTGCGGTGTAGAAAATGGATGCATCGACGATGTATTATTAATATCCGCAAAAAAATTAAATATGTGAATCTGAAAAATCCCTTCTTTCAGAATTATATATATATATATATATATATATATATATATATATATTATATATATAT